TTTGAGTAGAACCACTGTCACTTGGCGTCGCACATCCCTTTTCGCCAACAGATGAAACAGGAATGTCCTTAATTTCGAGAATTCGGGCGGAATTTGCGGACGGGTTGAAACGTACGTTACGCTACTTACGTGATTTAAGAGACGTATATGTCTCTTGCGAATATTGCTTTATTATGGAATTGTATCGTATTAACGTTTCTATTAACAACTTGTGCTAATGTAGTTTTCAATTGGAGAGGCTAAACAGATGTTAATTCGCCTATTGTTGAATTCTCTTACAAATTGCGAGGAAACTCTTTGTCCGTAAAGTATGTTGGATCAACTGACTGTTTCCCGGTCGACTGTCATTACCCATTGCGATACTAAGTCGAGACGTAATCGGCTTTATTACAAATGTGTATTGAATTGTTGTAATAGGAAGGTTGCTCCAGAATTTGCAAGTGCACGATATTGTCCGGATATTGCCGGCAATGTCCCGAAGATATTTAACGTAGGACATTTATTCCGATTGAATCGGTATATTAGCAAATAACGTCATAAATTATACGCGCGGAGCGCTCGTAAAGCCATCCCGAATCGCTTTCGCCGAGACAAGCCATTGTGCTTCTATTCATCTTATAAACCGTTCCGCGATATTCATCCATCCAGAGTGCCTTCTATATTATCAAACGGCTCTAGCAAGTTTCCGAATGCAGGCTAGCTTCGCTTCATTTCTCCGTATTTTCCGTAGTTACTCTTCCTTAATGCAACTGGCGCAAGCTAAATAATCACGTCGCAACGGTGCTAAAGTCAACTCCGCGTCGACTGTACTTCGCTTTTCACGTACTTGTGATGAAAAACAGCCACCATCAATGTACTTACTGCGCGGCGCGACTATTAAGCCATCGGAAAATTCGCTATTGTATTAGAGTACATTCGATATTCAGGCTTATCGAAGCAGTTTTTTGCGAAGCATTTCATACGCGGGAGCATAAAATTCTGCCTGGCCGTGACGCGTATGCATGACCGTGTTTGCGGAGCGTGTTGTTACATGATGCTGGCCGATGTTAGTTGATTGAAAAATCGTTGATGCTAAATTAATTCCATTCACTCGCACCTGTTTGTTGAGCTTACGCGATTTACTCGGCCGATGTGGGCGGATAATAGTTATGAACCTCTGCTTAAATATTGTGCCAGAATTAACAAGGGTGTGTCATGCTCTAACGAACCGGCGAAAAGCAAGCGAGCGCGACCAGGACGCAAACGATATTCTATATAGCTAATAATATGTACGCCCACAGCAATAAAGCGTTTGCGCCATCCACAGCAATTACGCGGGTGTTTACACAGAAATACTCTTACCGGTTAACAAACTATGCTGCAGTAATGTTTTCCTAAATATACGAGATCAGTATTTTTGCGGCGACGTTGCATTTAAAATAACGGTGTAAAGAAAATATTAGGACTTAGCTCTGAATATTATACACATTCGTTAGCAGTGCGCGGTTCTTTTTATTACGTGGAAACTTTATTTACTCTGCATTACGGTTTCACAACGATCGTTGATGAGATTTTAATATTTACAAGCCCGAACGAAGAGATTGAAATATATATATATATATATATATATTGTACTTTTTTATATTTGAACACGTATAAATATAGGAAGTGACTAAGTTGTGAGAATCGGGTCAGTCGTTCCGACGATCGAGAACATCGTCGTGAACTAAACGTGAACATTATCGTCGAGGCAGTCAAGAGGCGAGAGGCAACGTGTTCGAAACTTAAAAGTGTGCTTTTACTTGAGTCCATAAATTCAATTATTTATAGAGAGCGAAAGAACATCTTACTGCTCTAT